TCCTTCAGGTTCCCCTTCATAAGACTCTTTTCTGAATGTAACTACAGGCATGTAGAGAATTCTGATCCTTTTTGGGATGTTTTTGTAAAATTGACTCTGGTGTAGGGAATAAATCAGAACTTTCAATCTGCTATATACTGCCCTTGCTCTTAACCCATAGGTCTGGATTATAAAAAGCCACAGCTTTAAGAGAAAGTATTTTCAACTGCTATCCTTCATACAGCAGCTCTATGAACAGAAAAACTATATCTAAAAATCATAGAAAAAACACAAACTCACCTACTAGATGTGGTATCCTATGACATGTTATTGTTGCCTAAAAAGCATAAAGTTGGTGGTAACCAGATTTAATGTACCACTGACTCTTGAAATGTTTTACTTTTCATGCTATTTTAAAACTAATGTTTATTATGTGCAATACCTAAGATACTGTTACTAAAGTAACTTTACTTCATGATACAACAAAAAGAATTTACTAAAGTTTGCTATAAATTCAAGCATGAGATTTTTGTAATACTTATGTATAATATCACTTAGTGGAAGAATATATTTTGGCTCCCTGTAGTATCTGAACATGAGTTTATATAAGTTTTCACTTTATATCACTCAGGTAGTCTGAAGAGAACACATGAAGAGGAGGAGGATTTTGGAAACATGCAAGTGGCAGCTGCACAGAATGGCTGACTCTGAGCACTGTCACACAAATGTGAATGTGTCACACGGATGTGAATTTCTGTTTAGAAAGGAGGAGATCCTAGTGATGATAATGTAAAGTGGTAAAAACACAAGTAGTTTCTTTTCAATTATATGTTGCTTCCAGACATGTTTCTCTGCAACTTGTTGAGCAACACTTTAAGATGTTGAACTTCTACAGTAGATGGCGCTGGTGGGTGATGGGTTTGCTTTAAAATAACAAAACAAAACAAAAAACACTTTATGGTTTTATTGTAAACCAAGAATTTTGGACTTGCAAAAAGGTATTATTGCAATAATGCACTTTTCATACTTGAAGTTTATTTGTATGATATAAAGTTATTACTTTAAACAAAATGCAAGTTAGGGGATTTGTTTATAATTTTTGGATAATTTATAACAAACAAATTTCCTAATGTTTCCTAAAAGCTCATTTGTGTTATATATTACATTTAAAGTAATTTTACAGTTAAATTTTCTGATGGAGCCTCTTACAGAAACAGTAACAAAATGTAGAACTCTTTCACATTTTTTAATATAATTCAGCAACTGAATTACCATTTTTTTAAACTTCTTTGTCCCTTATTTTTAAATCATGATTTTAGCCAACTATCCTACTTTACTAATTTAATTAATACTTCCTTTCCAATTGCCTTCCTTATTGTAAACAAGAAAAAAAGTTGTAATGATGAAAGAGGTCTTATTTATTCAAAAATAAGGATAGTGTTATATTTCCACCTGCTGTTTTTCTTTTTGCTGTTTGTTTAAGCCAAATGTTGACTTGGTCTTTACAGAGTTGCCTAGCCCTTTTAACTTTTGTCCAAGATGGTTCAAAGTAGACTTTTAAGAAACCAAACCAATGTAGCACTGTTTCTTCAATATGAAACCCCCAAAAGAAAAGTGCCTTGCATCAACCAATTAAATCCTCATGACCTCTAAATTAGATAGCAGTATAAAGCTATTAACATTTTTGTAATTTTTTTTGTTTTTAAACCATAAATTAAATCTGTGAAGCTTGAAGAAAGTAAATTATTTGGAATAATATGAGACATTTACTTCATTTCATGTTGTCTTGCTTCTGTGAGGTTCTTGACTGCTTTGAAAATTCATTGGATAAAGAGCAGTTTGTGGGTGGCTTCAGGGTTTTGTAAATTACTGTTTTAATTTGTTCTTAAATTAGTTCAAATTTACCCCATAATTTGCAAAGTCACTTTATGGCTCTTTAGTTTTCCATGATTTTATCTATTTGTATAAAAGTTGTTCTATAAAAACCATTTTGCTATTTTAAGTGTGATGTGCAGAAGAGAGAAGTGTTTTAGCCTTTTGTGTTTGGTGACTTTAGGGTAGCAGACGACACAGCTCCTTGTAGCTCAGTCCTCTCTCGAGGTGCTTTACTGCTGGGAATGATGTCTACATTTCCGGGGTACCGTGAGGCACGGTGTGAGATGGCGTGTTACTTTTTCTTTGCTCTCCATTCTTATGGTGTTACAGTACAGAGAAGGCTCTGTCCTACAACAGTGGGAGCCGAATGTAAACCAGAAGTACTATTAAATAGACTTAATTTCTCTTTGGATTTCGCATTCCACCCTAAAACCAGCATTGTGATCACTGTTCTCTTGTGTCACTGGTATGGCGGACTAGTGGAGTCAAGATTATATTGGGTGTTCAAAATTCCTGTGTACACATCATCACTGGAAAGGTCAACAGAGATCTCTCACAGTCCTATGATTCATTGAACAGAAATTGTGCTTAAAGTAATCTCCATAAAAATGATTTTTCAAAATGAGACATTTGAAATTATTTTTTTAAGTTTCATAAAAATACATATTCTATCTCTTTAAGAGTTTGGCCAGAATTATGGAATAGGTTGTTGATAGTCATTTATATCTGGTAATTTGTCATTTTTCTAACCAGTCATTTTTATGTTTTCACATAAAGTGCCTATCCAGCACGATATACTGGAGACAGTCTCAGATATTAGAGACTGCTATCACCTTGAGCACAGTTGATGTGAACAAATGAGGTTTGTTCTTTCCTAAGAAGCCTGTATTTACTAAATAGCTGTCTTAGGTTCCATTTCCAGTGATGTTTTGTAACAGTCAGCTATGATAAACTTAACCAATCATGTCTTATTCTCTAGACAAACTGAATGATACATGAATGTTCACCCAGTTTCAACATTAATATGTAATCTGGGTTCAGAATTAAGATTTTTATCAAAATATAGGGAACTTCATTTCCCTTTTTGAAAGTTTTGAGACAGATACTGAACTTTTGGAGTGGGGTATCTCCTCTTATTTTAACTGGTTCATGTTAATTTCTTGTCTATTAGATGTTGACTTGTACCAACTCTGTAGTAGGAATGTTCAAGTGTGATAGCTTTGCTACCAACTTTGAATCACTTGTAGAGCAGAATTCATTTGCAAGGGTATGGGGTTGTGCTTAATCTCAGTCTAGAAGTAATGTCAGAAATGCTAAGCATGTCCTTTGTAAGAAAACTTAAGGTTCCTAATTGTTTAATTACTATGATAATTCAAATTAATTAGTATTTAAGTGCAATCTTGAATTATGAAGTTGAGATGTATATATTAGGATCTCAACTTGATGTAAAGTAAATGAGCAGTTACCTGACGGATTTTTTTTTTTAATAACTGGTTTAATCCATAATCCTAAAGCATAGCTTCACTTCAGTATTTACGTTATTTTTGTCCATTCAACAACACTCCAATAAGGAAATGATAGGAAATAGCTGAGATTTACGCAAGGATTTTATTTATTTTTTTTTTAATTAGGAAGTTTCTAGAGTCTTGAGTGCTGGATATTCTTTGTCTTTCCCATTCATGGCAGCTAAAACAAAAAAAATCACTCAAAATATTCAGGTTTACATGTTAAGCTCTCTCACAGGGAGCGGCCATACCTCACAGTTCAAAGTGTTTTCTCAATCAGACACATGATACTGACATGTAATTGCAATTTACTATGCAGCAAAAAATGATTCAAGAAGAATAACATACAGTGTCTAGTTACCTCTGTATAGGCAATTGCTTACGTTACTCTGCTTTTAACATTTGTACTCAGATAAAATGCTTCTGTATGTATAGGAATGTCACAGATGCAAGATGCTGCTAGCCTGGGCACAAAGTATTAAAATTATTTTGTGAAGACTGGTGGTTGTATTAAAACTGCTGTGCTATTGTACATCAACTGATGATTGAGAAGCTCCCTCATACTCCTTAGGCCTCAAAATGTCTTAGCCTTCTGGGTAAAAGCTGCCCAGCTTTATTCCCACAAATTAAGTGTGCTGAATATTTAATATTGAAACTGTTTTCAGTTGGTGACACAATGCAACTGTTTCTGTAAAGGGGGATTTAAGAGAAGACCTCAAAACCCCATGGTATTATTGAAACACTAACATAAATGGTTTTACCTCAGAGTCTAATGGTAAGATACAGAATACGGTATTCAGTTTTCCCTTGGGGGCAGGCTTATTTAACATGGGTAAAACTTCATGAAAACTATTTTCACTAGTGATAGGTCACTTAGTTCACTGAACCAACTGTCAGAGGTAAAATCTGTCCCTCTACAGTAAAAGTATTTCTATTCTGGAAAGTCAACTAATGATTAGAGGGAAATCCAAATCCAATGGAAATAACCCCAAAATACATATCAAAGACTCCAGCCTATTGTGGTGATGCATGCCTGTAATACAAGCTCTTGGAACATGCATGGAAGTCAAGGTTCTTTCTTGTACTACATAGTGAGTTCCTGCTAGCCTGGGTTACAGGTTGCCCTGTCTCAACAAAGAAAAACACAAGATTCTAATGAGACTATTCATATAAACAAGTTTAATGTAAATAACATGGAATACAAAAAAGATTAGAACCATTGTTAAAAAGTATCTAATTCTACCTTTAAAATCATTAAAATAAATAAAACAGGACAATGATCAGAATACCATTATAATCATATAAATAGAAAAGCTACTTTTTAAGGATGGAACAAAGACAGTACCACACTTTATTTATTTTGGCAGCTCAAAAGCTTCAGATGCCCATGATATGGAGACCAGGGTGAAAGTACCTCCACTGAGCGAGAGCTGCTCGCACACTGATGAAAGAACCCTGGGTCTCTAGACCTGCCCTTGGGTAATTCTGACACCATTTGACAGATGAGACAGGTGGTGGGATGTCTGCACAGAACTATACCAGCACTTAGTAAAATGGTTATTTCAGCTGTTGTACCTTGTCCAAGTGTATGCAGTATTAGGATCAGCAATGTTTAGATGTGCAAATAAGTATCTAGTTATAACAATAGATGTGTCCAGCTCCCTACAATGTGAGAAATGACACACCCTTAAGTCTATTTAGGTATATGAGGCAAAGATAATTTCATGTGATAAAAGCCTTATTCAGTATATATACACACATTTAGAAATGAGCAGCACAGAGCAGATACAACTCTTTACCACCCTTCCTCTTGACTACTTCAGAAATGAAGACAAACTTTAGAAAAATACAATGAAAGAAAAGATTCAAGTAGAAAATATATTCCTTTGGTTAAAAATCATCCCCTTTATGATCATCTGTATTCTTGTGAAGCAGAGCAGCCGCAGCAGCCACAGGCATGCTCTTGTGTCACTACTACAGTTGCTTCCAGTCTAGAAGGAATGGCGCTCACTGGGCTGCAGCTGAACAGGAAAGCCCCAGAGCATTATCTTGATGGTGTTCTTTACTTTAGGTACCTCCGACACATGTAATTCTCTTCAGACACTGTATAGCCAAACTTTTGGTAGAAGCCAACGTTTTGTGGTAGACATTCAAGGGTGATCTTGTAACAGTTCAGCTTCTTGCTTAGCAAAGTCAGAGTTGATAATAACCTGAAATTTTGAAATAAAAGTAGCATTTATTAGTGTTCCCTTACATATACAAATTAAGTTGATAAGCATTTAAATTCCAGAAGCATTTTTATCTTGTTTCAAACAGCGGTTCCCAGCCTACTAGTAACTAACTCAGCCTATACCTCTTTTTTATTATGGGAGGAGGGGTACAAGTACAGCATGAATGGAGGTCAGAAAAGGACAATTTAGTGTAGTTTTCGCCTGTAGATGGGCTCTGGGAATCCAACTCAGGCTTATCCTGCAAGTGCAGTCGCCCTCCCACCCATCTTGCCAGCCTCTAAACCTTTTTATTTATTATTAATAAATTGTAACAATTTATGAGGTGCTGAAGAGATGATTTTCTAGAGGACTAGGGTTCAGTTCCCAGGACCCATACAGCTGCTAACTGTATCTCCACTTGTTATCCTCTTGTTATCCTCTTCTGGCTTCCTAACCTCTACAGGCATCAGACATGCAAGTGAGTCACAGTCATATCCAGGCAAAATAACCTATATGCATAAAATTTTTACAAAAATCCACACAAAGGCTACAGAGCTGGCTTAGCATTAAGTTAAGAACATTGGCTGCGGCCAGGCGGTGGTGGCACACACCTATAATCCCAGCACTCGGGAGGCAGAGGCAGGCGGATCTCTGTGAGTTCGAGGCCAGCCTGGACTACAAGAGCTAGTTCCAGGACAGGAACCAAAAAAAGCTACGTAGAAACCCAGTCTTGAAAATAAAAAAAAAAAATATTGGCTGACTCCTGATTTGATTCCCAGCACCCACATGGTAGCTCACAATCATTTGTTACTCTTGTCTCAGGGCATCTGAGGGCACTAGGAACACATGTGGTATAGCGATATATATGCTGGTCAAATACCTCAAATAATTTTTTAAAAAAGAATTTACGCATGAGCCTAGGTATAGTGAGCGGCATACACTTATAATCTCATTGTTTGAGAGCCAGGGCCTGCATTATTTTTATGAAAGGCCTCAAGCTGGCTGTGGTGGCACCCAAAGGTGAAATAAAGCAGGAAGGTGTGAGATTGAAGGTCATCGTTTTCTACAGCAACATGAGACCATAAGTCAAAAGACAAACCCCAAAATACCTTTGTTTCAGGGGCTGGGGATGTAGCTCAGTAATGATGGTTGCCTAGCATGCAGAACGCCCTGAGTTCCCATCTAACACTGTAAGAGGTTGCACATTAAGGTACCTTTGTTCTAAGTCTACTTCAACTATACACTGGCTATGTTCACATCAAATGAGTAATAGCTATAGTCTTGAGTTGTAGCCTTGGCTGGACATGCCACCATGCCAAGCTTCTTTAATCATTTTAAAAGCTGCTTTATAATGACAATGTATATCAGATAAACTCAAGATTAGTCTGAATAATATTGTAGACATACTATTCAGAAACCATCTTTCCAAGCCCATGGAATCAAAATCCTACATTAAATATATGATCTAAGCTGGGCTGTGGGGTGTAGTGTACACCTTTAATCTTAGCACACAGTAGGCAGAGGCAGGTGGATCACTGGGTTCAGGCCAGCCTGGTCTACAACCAGGGCTACACAGAGAAACCCTGGTCCCAAAAACTAAAAAGAAAGCAAGTGATCTAGCTGCTCTAAGATTAAAAACTCCAAAGGTGCTAACTAAAGGGTTTTCTCCTGTATATTTAGACAGATCCTGTCATACAGCCCAGGCTAGCCTTGAACTTGATGTGGTCCTCCTGACTCAGTTTCCTGTGTGCCAATTTTATAGCTAGATACCACCAGCACATCTGCCTTTTATGTTTTAATAAACAATTATCATTTTTGAAAAACAAAACTTTCTAAGATTTTAGTTAAATGGATTGGAGGAATAGTAAATGCTGATATGTAGCACAAATTCTAATTGATCTTAGTAAAACTTAGAATCAGATATTGGGGGTGAAAAGTGAGAGATCAGAAAAGTAGACAGCCACTCTACCAATGCTCATACTGAAGGGGCCATCCTGTCTCTATGAATCCTCAGACTGAATCCTCAAGATTGCATCTGAGCTCCTGTCTCGTCCCACATTATCACATTATATTCCTCTCAGTCCAGCCCCATCCCTTCCCCTCGCCACCTCCTTAGTGCTGGGTTTGAAGGCATGTGACTCCCATGTACTTGGATTAAAGGTGTGAGCCAACATTGCCTGGCTGTTGCTCTTTGATACTTGGTCAGTCACTATATCCTAGGGAGGCCTTGAACTCATAGAGATCCTTCTGCCTCTGCCTCCCAAGTGCTGGGATTAAAGTGTGTGCCACCACTGCCTGGCTTCTATGGCTAACTAGTGGCTTAGCGCTGCACTCCGATCTTCAGCCAAGCTTTATTTATTAGATTACAAATAAAATATCACTATACTGATAGTTCATACAGTCAAGTATTACAAATACCTAGAATACTATCTGATACATACTTGAGAAGACTCAGATTATATTTAAAGGGAGATTCTGCTTATAACTTGGCTATAAACCTATACAAATATTAAACATTCCATTTGATTTTAATCTGACATAGGCACTGGGTACTCACTGTAACTTGTAACTGCTCAAGTCTGAGAATGCTAGTATTAAAAGTTAAAGAGGTTTTTTTTTTTTTGAGGTTACTTTTTATAAGCACTGTTTTCCACTACTCCAGAGGCTGAGACAAGAGGGTCACAAGTTCATAGCGACTGAACTTAATGAGACACTTGTCTCAAAAAGAAAAAGCTAGGCAAGGTTTAATCCTGGCACACCTTTAATATCAGCACTAGGAAGACAGAGGCAGGCAAATTTCTGAGTTAGAGACTAACCTGGTCTACAGAGCGAATTCCAGGACAACCAAGGCTATACAGAGAAACCCTATCTTGAAAAACCAAAACAGTGTAGAGTGGGTGCCACTAGTGACAATGCAATTCAGTTACTTGTTACTCTTGGTAAACAGAATGTGTTTTCAGTTCTCAAACTCTGGGGTGAAACTAATAACACTTTCATTTTTCATTAAACTCAGTCTAAGATACAGAGTAAGAATGAGTTTAGAATAAATGAAAATCAAAAAAAATCAGGAAAGTCTTATGAAATAAGTTTCTTGGCAAGAGACCAATCTGGGACAGGCCATCCGGTTTGCCGGGGTTATGTGTACTTACAGTTTGCCGAGCTGCTTCCCTCTGCACGCATCACTAACAACGACGTCTTCTACTCTCCCTCTCTGCAAACAAGCACAGTTGGACAAGATGAGCCGTCAGCCTGTTTTCCACTAAGCTAGCAAGTAAGAGTTACAATTCCAGTCTTTATTATAGCTCCAATCCCAATCACCATAATGTAATCTTGTCATAAAGATGGTATATCCAGCTTGTTGCTTAGTAACAATTTACCAATTTCAAGTGCAGAAACCAAAACCAATAATAACCTACAGAGTGCTTTATTTAGTTTTTGTTTGGGGGGACAGGGTTTCTCTGCAGCTCTGGCTGTCCTGGAACTCACCAGGCTGGCCTTACCCTTGTCTCCCAGTGCTGGGACTACAGGTGAGCACCCTCACATTTCTGTATGAGTCAGTGTGCGAGAGTGTGTGTGTGTGTGGAGGTCAGACCAACTTAGAACTGTTGTCTCCTTCCACTGTGTGGGTCTCAGGGATGGAACCCTGGGTGGTTAGGATCAGTGGCGAGTACCTTCACCCCTCAAGCCATCTCACTGGCTCATCTATCTGATTGCATTATAACTCACAAAAACATCAGAAAAGTGTATTCTACTGAAGAATTTCAGCAATGAAAAATTAGGGAAAAACTGATTTTGCTAATGAAGCTTCTAAGTTGGTTTCATTAGAAATCATCTGTGCATTTTGCTCATAGACATTAATGTGAGCACATACCTTAGCACATGAATGGATAAATTTATGTTCTATTATCAGAGTTGCCGTAGCAACAATTTGTCCTAGGGTCACATCTTCCACAACTGTAACATAGTAATCCCCAGACTTCTTCATATGCTCAAAAGATTCTGTGGAAATGTCAAAAAAAAAAATCTGTTAGATAGTGGACATTCTATCTTATTAAATTCAAGAAAAATACCAGGCTTATCTGACTTCTTCTTTAAATATTAAAGCTGTTTTCCCACAGGGCTTTGGTTTCCACTTTTTTTTTTTTCGAGACAGGGTTTCTCTGTGGTTTTTTGGAGCCTGTCCTGGAACTAGCTCTTGTAGACCAGGCTGGTCTCACACACAGAGATCCGCCTGCCTCTGCCTCCGAGTGCTGGGATTAAAGGTGTGCGCCACCACCGCCCAGCCACTTTTTTTTTTTTTAAGACAAAGCAAGTGAAGTAGACTGAACATGAGATATTTATTTATTTGTATGTTTATGGAGACAGGGTGTCACCATGTTGCTCTGGCAATTCTAAAATTCACTGTGTAGACCAGACTAGTTTCAAAGAAGAGACCTATCTGCCTGCTTCTGCCTCCAAGCTCTTGGATTAAAAGTGAACACCACTACACCTGGCTAGTTTAAACTTATAAAAGTACTTTATTTATTTAAAATGCCAAGGCGCAGAAATACCAGCAATCAGCACTGAGTGGTCCATACATTTAAAGTCAGCTGTTGTTAGAGCATGGAGAGAGAGCTTGCCCTCTGTGCCGGAAACACATATAACCTGCTAGCAAAGCTAAGACTCGGGGATATTTTAGATGAACGACACCATATGACAGATAAATTTTGCATGCTGCCGTCTCTGTGACTACTTAAAATGTCAATATCTGCCAATTTAATTTATATTTATTTAAAACTAACACTCAAAGATATTCAAGGAACAAAACTGCAGGGTTTTACAAGAGCTTTTATATTCACGATCCATACATAGTCTTGGCTTCAAAATATTTTTGACTAAACAGTTTTCCATTTGTTTTTCCAGTGTTTCATGATTACATATTTCTTCTTTTAGAAACAGGATCTTTGTTTGCTTTGAAAGCACCTTACAAAGATGACACAGATACGTCCCCACTTAAGCAGTTTTTCCCAAGTTGTACAACAAGTGGAAGCAAAGCTACATTCCCACAAATAATGCTTAACACTTTAAACTGCTGGAAAACGACAGTTCTCATCTAACCTGATAGGTATGCAAAGCCAAAGTTTGTTTATTTTTTGGTTTTGGTTATGTTTTTCAAGACGGTTTCTCTGTAGCTTTGGAACCTGTCCTGGAACTAGCTCTTGTAGACCAGGCTGGCCTTGAACTCACAGAGATCTGCCTGCCTCTGCTTCTTGAGTGCTGGGATTAAAGGCGCGCGCCCCCACCCGCCCAGCTAAACCCAGAAGTTTAAAAGTTTAATTTGATAATGAAATTTCTGTGCTTAACATAATCACATGGAAGGAGATAACTACAATAAAAGGAAAATAAAGTGGTCCCCTAGTAATCACCAAGTCATTGCAAACATTTGCATTCTATAAATGTGGATGGCTAGTTCATAACCTTCAGCTCTTTGAATGACCGGGACTGGACAGCATGCTAACCATTCAGACAAGGTACGCTGTGGTACTTACTCATGAACTGCTCAGGGCTGACGACGCCAGTCTCAGTCAGCTGACCCAGTACCTTAAAAAAACCTAGATTTAAAACATTTCAAGTCAAGAGAAAAGTAAAAGATTAAAATATGAAAAGAAGCAAAATGTTTGCCGGGTGGGTTAAAGGAAATTACTTTTTCAAAATGCCATAATCATGTTTCCATTATAATCTTAATCAAATTTTGTAGATTAAACCTACAAATTTCCCGCAGATCCTGTTGTGTCACGTACATAGCACTGTAAGACATTTTCGTACTAGCACCTATTTTTTTACAATCAGAATAGCAAATAACAGCCTTCAACAATATCGCCCGCATAAAACTAGAATCGTGCAGACCTTAATATCAGTAATTCCAGAACCTGCATATACACGTGTTCATTGCTATTGAAGTTTTTTTAAAGAGATGCTGCATTTTCCTAAATACTTACAGTGCAAGATTCTCACCTCCACCACATATCATTTGTAAGCTAAAGTGCAACTCACACAACACTGTTGAGACAACTATAAATTTCTAATTGTACTAATGCTAATGTAGCTGGGGCTTAGTGGTGCACGCCTTTAATCCCAGCACTCAGGAGGAAGAGGGTGGTGGATCTCTGTGAGTTCAAGACCAGTCTGGTCTACAAAGTGAGTTCTAGAACAGCCAGGACTATAGAGATCCAGTCTTTAAAAAAAAACAAAACAGAAACACTAATGATAATGCTAAAAGTACATTTAAAATTTTGAGTCTTCATTTTTCTACATGCAGTAATTCTGACCAAAGTTACTTTCTTCAAATACCCATGAAGAAGAAAATAGTGAGGTAAAATGTTATTTATTACCAAAGTTCCAGAAAATTATTTTGGTTAATTTAGATATTAAAGAATTAGGGACTGGAGAGATAGCTCAGGAGTTGAGAGCACTGGCTGTTCTTCCAAAGGACCCAGGTTCAATTCCCAATGCCTACGCAGCAGCTCAAAACTGTAACTCCAGTCCCAGGGGACCTTGACATTCTCACAGACATAAATGCAGGCAAAATACTAATGCAAATATAAATAAATAAGTCTTTAAAAAATTATATTGTCCTTCAATTTGTCCAAGGAATGTTATTTCTGACTGTCTAGCTTCTTGGAGAAAAACTCTTACATGTGTTTATACATTATAACTTCACTTTTGTTTTTGAGACATCTTTTTGTATTTAGTTATTTTAATACATTATAATAATATCTGGCCTCCATGATACAAACCTATTACAAGTGAGTGCTCCAGTCATTTTAAGTACAAAATTAAGTACTGTTCTTTTATTTTTTTTTAAGATTTTATTTATTAAGTATACAGTGTTCTGCCTGCATGTATGCCTGCTGGCCAGAAGAGTGTACCAGATCCCATTATAGATGGTTGAGAACCACCAAGTGGATGCTGAGAATTGATCTCCGAACCTCTGGAAGTGCTCTTAACCTCTGAGCCATCTCTCCAGCCCTTCAAGTACTGTACTAAGTTAGCATCATGCTTATGAAAATGTATCAGTTTCTAGTCAGGTTTTGCAAACTAAAGTTGGAGCGATACCTTTATTCAAGTCTGCAGTACAAAGAGGCCTCAAAACCAAGCCTTCTCCAGGATTCTTTGGAGAGATGGCTGGAGAAAATGTGGCTGTATTCTGACTCCAGTCCACTTCTTCAAGCAGACTTGGGTCAAACATAGGCGTTTCATCGGGTTTCATCTTTCCAGTAAAATCTAAAATAAAATTTCAAATGTTAAGAGGCTTTATTAGTTAAAAAAAAAAAGTGTGCTTGATAAGAAAGTTAATTTCATCACATTAAATGAATTTTATAACACTATATGAGCTATTTTACTTTAGCTACCTAGAATCTACAACAATTTTACTATCAGATGGAAAATGGATTGCCATTAGGGGTGAAAATAATGGATGAAATCAAAAACAAAACTTTAAATCTCCATTTTCCAGAAGGTCCCTGAAGACATTTTATCCTTGCGGGCTGGTGCTAATAGTGTAGTGGTTCTCAACCTGTGGGGTAGGGGTGGGGGCTGTCAAATGACCCCATACCAGATATGGGACCACATACCAGCTATCCTGCATACCAGAGATTTCTATTATGGTAACAGCGAAATTACAGCTATGAAGTAGCAACAAAGATAATTCTACAGGTGGGTGTCTCACAACACAAGGAACTGAATTAAAGATCCAGCATCAGGGAGTGTGAGAACCACTGCTCTCTAGTAGAACACCGACGTCTTGTGGACCCTCGTGTTTGTACAGCTGCAATCTTGCATCTTGGTGCTAAGCTCCCCGTTATTCGGCATCCCCATCAATACTCACTTGAGTATGTGACCTGTTTGTTTTACATGAATCACGAAAACCGTAACTGGGGAATTATTCAAATTGCTTCATTATTCTCTGCATTCTTAGCCATGACAGACACTGAGTGTCTGCATTTTGTTTCATGACGGCTTTCTTTTGAAAAGCGTGTGTTAGCTGCTTCTAAACAGTTTAAGACTAACCAGTGGATTTTTGTTTGTTTCATCCTTTGCAACAGACATAGTGGTGCATGCTTGTAATACCAGAACTTCAGGCACTGAAAGAAGGGGTTTAGACTAGTCTGGGTACACTGTGGATACTGCCTCAAAACACACATGACCAATGTGATACTGAAACTCTGTCTCAGGAAAAAAAATTATAGTCATAATAAATTTAACCAGTTACTAGTTACAGTACTTAGGGACAAGGTCAGCCTGATCTACAGAGTGAGTTCCAGGACAGCTGGAGATACACAGAGAAACCCTGACTTGAAAAATCAAAAATAAATAAATTGATTTCCAAAAGAAATGCCTTAAAGGCTCCCAGATAAAAGCTATATGTGCACTGAACTGTGAAGTTCAGTCTCATCACAAAGTAAAACCTGCAGCTCCCAGGTACCTGAACACATAGTGACTCTTAGGCCTGCACAGGGAAGACATGCAAGCTGTGCCCCCCCCCCCCCCCCAGGGCCTCACTCTGTAGTTCTGCTCCTTCCTCCCTTACCCTTGCTAAACTGGTTCATCACACTTGCTGAAAAAGCCAAAGGTCAGAGCTCAAGGTAACTTGTGGTCGGCATGGTAATTTCTAGCCACATTCTGCTGATCAGCCACCCGTTGTCCAAAGGCACATTATCTACCGGGAAGCCACATAAATGATGGTGGAGGAGGACTAAACAGCACAACCCCGTCACCACTTTCTAGGAAGAGGGATTCACGGTGTAGCTTAGGTTGCCCTCCCACTCTGTTGTCTGTGTGTTGGGTACTGTGCACAAGGAGGCCCCATGTTGACATCAGGTGTCTCCAATCACTTCCACTGGATATACTGAAACCAGTTCTCTCCCAAACCCTGAACCCACTTTTTAGGTTGGTGTGAACAGCCAGTTTACTCACAGGATCTGTCTCCTGATGCTGCAAGCACAAGCCCTCCTACTTCCTTACATGGGTTCTAGCAATCAGTCAGAACTCTGGTCCTCAAAGAACTCTGGTCCTCAATCTTGCATTGCAAACGATTTACCCTCCCAGCCACCTCCCCAGTCTACCTCCCACTCTTGATTCTGCTTCCACACTCCCCATGCTGAGATTCCAGCAGTGTCCCACCAAGCCAGACTCCGTTTCCAGCACATTACTAAACAGACAGTCATTGGTCCCATTAAACAGGAAAGATCTAAGTAATAGTCAAACTCCTTTTAAAACAGGATTTAAAAACCTCAAACAGGAAAAAGCCTATCTTCCTAGTCATAAGGATATGATTCATGCCTCATTACAAGCTAATAAAAATTCAGATGAGGTGGCAAACACCTGTAATCCGGTGCTAGGAAGGCTGGGTCGTGAACAATGGAATTCAAGGCCAGCAGGGCTATCACAGTGACAAAAAAACAAACAAACAAAAAAACTAAAAACAGCCGGGCGGTGGTGGGGCAGGCCTTTAATCCCAGCACTGGGGAGGCAGGGGTAGGTGGATCTCTGTGAGTTAAAGACCAGCCTGGTCTACAGAGCTAGTTCCAGGACAGGCTCCAAAGCCACAGAGAAACCCTGTCTCAAAAAACAAACAAACAAAAAAACTAAAAACAGCCGGGCGGTGGTGGGGCAGGCCTTTAATCCCAGCACTGGGGAGGCAGGGGTAGGTGGATCTCTGTGAGTTAAAGACCAGCCTGGTCTACAGAGCTAGTTCCAGGACAGGCTCCAAAGCCACAGAGAAACCCTGTCTCAAAAAACAAACAAACAAAAAAACAAAAAAAAACCCACACATATAAAAACTACTAAGGATTGGAGTAAACATGAAAAATTATTTTTAAAGTTGGTTTTTAAAAAGCCATACACCAAACTTCATTTATAATAGTACTGAGGTTTTTTGTTTTTTTCTCCCCAACTGAGTATATTTTTTTTAGAGACAATTTCAAGTTTAGCTTCCCAGCCTCTGAATGAGATTGGATACATACATACATATATACACATCCATACACACACACACACACACACACCTCCACACCCGTGCACTGGGTAGGGGTAAACTTAAGGTTAGCCCCGGCTACATAAAAATCTTCATTCTTTAAAGGTCCATCGCCAGCTAACTAAAGTTTGGTTCTATGAATAGAAATATGCAAAATGTAATAACTCACAGCACTGGCCCACCAACCTGCTGGTTTACCTGCTAAGTTAGCACGAGGAGAAGGCGTGAGTATTGCCTTGGCCACAGTGCAACAAACCTGGAGGCAAAGAAGAACGAAAACACTTCAGAAAGTCACAAAGAAAAAAGACTGCCACACTGCCCCAAGTGACATCACAAAAGCCAGACACCAAACTTCATTTATAATAGTATCGAGGTTTTTGTTTTGTTCTTTTTCACCCAACTGAACTCTCGACAATTTCAAGTTTGGCTTCCTGGCCTCTGGATGAGATTGGATACAAATGGGGAGCAGTTGCTCCTAGGAAAACAAAAAGGAGAAACAAGTAGTGAACACTGAAGACCAAGATCTACAGGTTTCTAAATATGATCTACAGCCATATCAAAATTCCTGTGATAGGTGACAGGCAGGTAGAGCTCTTCAAGGTTTGAAGTATTTGATCTACTTCATCTTTTTATCTCCAATCAGTTGGACAGTTGGAGCATGGCTTTCCCAAGACTAGCCTAAAGGTGCCTGCGATGAGGGTCTTCCCGTTGTCCCTCTGAGCTCTCCAACAGAAAACAGACGACAATCTTTGCATCACGATATCTGCTTCTACGTGGTCGACCTTATCCACGAATTCTGCCTTAAAATACCTCAATTTCCTGAGACCCATTCTTGGATTAATTAAGGGGTGACTATCCCAACAAAACGAATCCCCATTTATTTTTACATTAACAAATTTTGTGTTTGCCTTTCACAAACATTAGTTCCTACACATAAACAGAAATCACACGGCGTTTGTAGGAGTACAAACCCCAGATCCCCCACCCCAGGCTTCAGACAGTCTGAGCAGGTGGGGTTCTTCCGAGCCGGAGCGTGTCTTCAGCAGCTCTCACCGCTGGACCAGTAAAACGGACCCCAGTGTTAAGCGCCCTTTCAAAGCAAAAGCGGCAGACAGGGCAAGGACTGTCCTCAAGTCCCTTGCCACGAACAGTCCGGTTCCTAGGCCATCCAGGACCCTGCCCGGCCGGAGCGCGGGCCACCATGTTAGGCGCCGGGCTCCTGGGCAGGGACGTCCCGGCCTCCGCGGTCTGCAGCCCCAAAACGGTCCCCAGCCCACCCTTCCTCCCGTCTGAGCCCCGGGTCGCCTCACCACACCGAAGCGATCCACGCTCCCCTCCAGGCGCGTCAGTCTCCCGGCCGGTCACAGCGCCGCATCCGGATCCGGCTGCAGCGCCAGCCCCACCCCCTCCCGCGCCGCCCCCCCCCCGCCCCCCCGCGCCGCAGCCGTAACGGCCGGGCCAAACGTGGCAGGACCGGCGCCTCCGCCCTGCCCCACCCCGCCCTCACGCACGAGCTGCGGGCGCGGAGGCCGAGCCACGCACACTATTCCCGGGCTCCGGGGGGCGCGGGGAGGGGCGGGGCTGCGGGAGGGGCGGGGCTACGGGGGCGGGGCTACGGGGCTCCTTGGCGACTCTGAGGTGCGTCACCAGTTTACCTTCCAGGCGCGCCCCTGGCTAGGTGCAAGCTTGTGCCTCTCACTCCTTACCTGGAATAAATTCAAAGGAGTTTAAGCAGCGTCTTGCTATGCCCCCTGCGGGTTCCTTTGATTCTCAGAGCCCTAAGGCTCCTGCCTCATTAGTCCCCTCTGTCCTCTCCCTTCACGTGCAGTCCGTTAAGCAGGACTTCGGTTGCTTACTGGGGATCATGGCCTCTGATTCCCAAATGTCTGACACAGGGCTCTTGTCTTCTAGACACTTGAGTTGGGCCATTCATCCTCCCCCGTCTGGACAGTTCTTTCATTTCTGCATATCTTTATTTATTTTTATTGAGTCCCTCCACATTGCGATGACTGTCCAGAGGAGGCTGGGCTGGGTCTCCTCTGTCTCCCAAATGCTGGGATTAAACGTGTGTGCCACCGTGCCTGGTGAGCATGGTGGGCCCCGCAAGTGCAGCACTTCATGATCTCAGGAGCATTTCAGCTCGCTCTGGGGAAGACGTGGCGCTGGGTTCTCCAGACAGTAATGGGCAGATGCGGAGGCCAGGCCTCTGAAGAAATCATTTTACAGTGCGCCGTACCCAGAGCGCTTGGCCTGTAATGTCAGTAGTGGGGAAACTGAGAAATACGGTTTATGAGAAGAAAGACAGCCCTTCTGTGGGCTCCCACCTCTGAAGTGCTTTTCCTAAATACCATTTGACGGTGAGGAAGCAGAGATCTGGAGCCCCTGCTTTTTTAGAAAGTTACACAAGTGGTAGGTAGCTCTTGTTAAAATTAGAAGGTATTTATTCTCAAGGCATAGGTTCAAAAGGCACAACGGATTATCAACAAGAGTTGTATTTTGCTGGGCAGTGGTGGTGCACGCCTTTAATCCCAGCACTTGGGAAGCGGAGGCAGGCGGTTCTCTGTGAGTTCAAGGCCAGCCTGGTCTACAAGAGCTAGTTCCAGGACAGGGACAAAAAAAAAAAAAAAAAAAAAAAAAGCTATGGAGAAACCCTTCTCGGAAAAAAAAAAGTTGTATTTTCTCTCATTTTGAGATTTAAATTTAAAGGTTTTGTTGTGGTTGTTGTTGTTGTTGCCAAGATTAGCCTCGGCTACCTGTGCCCTGTCTAAAAGCAAACAAGTGTCTGGTATCGTGGCTCAGACTTTTAATTCCAGCACTAGAGAAGCAGAGGCAGACAGATCTCTGTGAGTTCAAGGCTAACCTGGTCTACACACAATGAGTGGACAGCATAGTAACCATTGCATTTTGACACTGCAGGCCACACTTCTCCAACACATTTTAACTTCTCATTTTTAATGGTTCTAACTATTAATGCCTTTCCCTTTGAAAAATGTTGTGGGGACTTTAATAAAGGATGAAAATGTGTAAAATGGTAGCCTCTCCTAAACAAAATAATTCTTTGGGAAAAAGATCCCCACCACCTTGGAACCAGAAATAGGACGGTGTTCTCCTAATTACACCAAGAGCGAGAAGGAAAGTTGGAGATTTATCAGGCACGCCTAATGGATGAAATGCCTACAGTTCAGAGCCTGAGGCCATTAAGTGAAGGAACAAAACAAATGCCATTTTGACCAAGAACCCGGTTTAGACAGGACCTAACCAGGGGGGTGAATGCAGTCCAGCAAAGTCATAAACATGCTCAAGAAACTGTGCTGTCCTGGTCAAAGTGACCCCCACAGGGTACCCAAACAACATCTGTTTACATCTGCTTGTTTCAAACGTCCTTGTAGGCACCTGATTAACCACTGTTTTGCCCCTGCCTTAGCACAGGGTCAGCAGATGTCTGGAGGACTTAACCAGGGAGGCTGTTGCTATACTAATAGCCTAAAGGAAGCTAACAGCCTTCAGCTGTGACCTTGCCTTTAGCCAATTGTGGTACAGGATAAGTAATTTTGTATTTTGAGACTGTAATCTTGTGACTGCTTTGTGTAGACAGGTCCTTCTCCCTCCATCTGCTGTATCAGACTGTGAGGCAGAGGACCCGTGCTAGCCTGTACTTAATAAACGAAACCTGCTTTTGCATTCAGAAGTGTGGTTCCGTGGTGGTCTTCTTGGGGGTCCTTGGACTCAGGCACAACATAAGGACAAGACTTTCATTCAGAAATACAGAAAAATCAAGATGGTAAGGTAAAATGGGGAAAGAGGAAGAATCAGTGTTTTTTCTTAAATGCCCAACCTCTCCAGTGATACAAATAATCCCAATCAGACCAAATTAAAAGGTGCCCAGGTTTAATAGATGAGAATTCTCCCCGGGTGGCTCTGGGAAAACATGGAGAGGGGAAGAGAGGGAAAGGGAGACCATGTGAAACCGGCCAGAGACCCACGTGTTCATTCTCTGGGGGCAGTTTAAATGGCCTAGAGGAGTGCTCTTGACCTTCCCTGGGAAGGGGACATCATTTGGCCAGCTTTCTCGGAGGTGGAGTTTGGACTATTGGACTCTAGCATCCAAACACAGAGGAGGAGTCGCCCCCAGAGACCATCTCATACACTACAGCCGATGCAAAAGCATGAGGATTTTATTAATTCTGTCATGACAGAGTCCCCCAGCATTCGGGAAGCCAAGGGACCTCGAAAAGCGGGTACAGTCTATTTTTAAAGGGGCCACAGAAGCAAGGGGGGTTGTTCTTTGACTATTCTGATTGGCTTATTTGAAAGGGCTATTACCAATAATTGACTGGAGAGCTGTTGCCAGATCAGATGAGGTAAGAGGTCATTTTGACCCCGTTTCCCAGGGGATTGAACCAAAGCATACGTATATGGGTAATTGTTCAGGAACTGAGTACGTGCGAGTGTAGCTGTTAGGTCCTTGGTTCCCAGGGGAGGAGGGGAAGCACCATAGCACAGAGGCTGAGAGGATTCAGAATTGTCAAAAATGGCTTCAGGATTGTCTTAAAGTCTTACAGGACTGAGGCAACTCCCAGGGGAGGGAGCTTATGTCAGGAGTTGGGGTGAAGCCCCCAACCAAATACTCCAGACTTTGTATATAAAGGGGTACCAGGGAGCTGAGGTGATGCTTCCAACCAGACATTCCAGACTCTTTGGATAAAGGAGTGCCAGCAAGCTGAGGGGAAGCCCCTCAACCAAACACGTCAGGCATGGGGTGACATGGGAGTGGGGAGAGCTGGGAGTTGGTGAGCTCATGCTCAGTTCACTGTCATCCTGGAGACCTCAGGCAGATGTTTCTTGAGGGAGATGGAAAGGCAGGTGGCAATGGTGAAGTCCCTGCAGCTGGTGCAGGTGTTGGCATTGTTGGGAGAGTACTTTGTAAGTTGGTCTTGGCCCAGACAGCAGGAGTGACTTGTAAAATATGCTTAAAATGGGTGGGGTTAAAACAGGCTCTGGAGGCTGTTAGTTTTTACCAGGCCTGATTTTTCTTGATAAATCAGCAGAACTTTTTTGGGAACTTCAGGTATCTGTAAGAGAACTGGAACAGGAACATTTTAGAAGACAGTTAAAGGGAATTGGAAACTCTAAACCTCTGAAGATAAACCTAAAACCTGTTAGTCCTGGACTATGAAGCCTGCTAAAGAGGCATACCTGTCTGTATTTTAGCAGAAAACTTAACAAATGAAGTAATGGGCTACCAGTACCTTAAGTCATCAAATGCCATTAGATAGAGCTAAGAGAGATGAATGAGCGAAAATGAGACAGCTTGTGTTAGTGCCGCAGGCAATCCCAGGTCTCTCGTAGTCCTTGGAGAACACCAGCCTTAGAAGCAGTGCTTGCTGTTAGCTGCTGAGTCCAAGGGGCCCAAAGATTTTCCTGTGGGGGGAAGATTTAGTCTGTCTTTGGTATGATGAGAAGATTGATTCCCCAGGTGTTGTATCCAGGAAGCTGAAGAGGTAGAAGGCCACTTTTTGCCGTGTAGGTGGCTTTCCCAAACCCAAAGGCAAGCTTCCAGGCAGGTCTTTTGCAACCATGTATCTTCTTGGAGGAGCTATAGGTTGCTGCAGGAGCTGGCATGTCTCTATGTTAGAAGCTCTTTTGTTAAATGCCATACTCTCCAATATGTAAAGGCACGTGAGAATTGAGTACCTGTTATATTTAAACTAGACATCTATTTTACACAATTAGTTACACAATTAGTTACAGCTTACCAGTGCTAGTAAATTTAAGAAGATTAAAAGGAATATTTTAATAAGTCAAAGAATACTAGCACATGTGGGTACTCTTACCCAAGATGGTGGTGGGGTCAAAATGGAGGTTACCCATGTGTTTGCATTTTTCCAGAGCTGTTGTAATCAGGAGTTACAGATTAAGCCTTACAGATCTTAAAACATGCACACATACACATAGAGAAATGAGACGAGCATACTGTGAAATCAAACACACACTCTCACAGAGACATAAAGCAAGCATACTGTGGAAACACACCCCCATACTCACACAGACATAAAACAAGCACACTGTGGCCATATTATTTTAACAGACATGTAACCCGCCCAGCAGGTCAGTTAGTCTAGGGTCCCAAAGAGGCGCTGTCTGAAAAAGACATGGGCAAGAGAGGAACGAGGCCAAGCAAGATCTGTTGTCAAAGCCTCTATTTATTAGCATAATGGCAGCAGCTTATATAGCCCTTGGATGAGGAATTTGGCTTGGGATGGGG